AATTATTATAACAGATAATACAGACTTCAAATCAACAAAGGAAAAGATGGTGACTATATAATAAGGGAACTATTCAACAAGAAGACATAATAAGTCTAAATGTTTATGTATCTAACACAAGTACACCCAGATTCATAAAGCAAATACTACTTAATCTAAACAAAAATAAACAGCCGCACTGTAACAGGGAATTCAACATCCCTCTGACAGAATAGGACAAATCCTCTAAAGAGAAAATAAACAAACAGACTTAGAACAAATGGGCCCAACATTGATTGAACATCCTACCCCAAAACCACCAAGTATATGTTCTTCTCATCAGTTCATGAAACATTCTCTACGTCTGGTCACAGACTAGGCCATAAAACATGTCTCAACAAAGTTAAAAAAAAAAATGAGAAATTATACCACACATCTTCTCAGACCACAGTGAAATAAAATTAGAAATCAACTGCAAAAGAAATACTCATCTTACACAAAGTCATAGATACTAAACATGACTAACAGTTGAATAAAGGAGCAAATTAAGATGGAAATCAAACGCTCCTTTGAAGTGAATGACAAAGGAAACACAAGTTACCAAATCTGTAGGATTTGGCTAAAGCAGTCTTCTGAGGAAAATCAGTAACTATAAAATGCCTAGATCCAAAAGACAGAAAGATCACAAATCAACAATCTAGTAAATCATCTCAAGGAACTAGAAATGGAAGAGCATACCAATCCTAATCTCAGCAGAAGAAAAGAAATAACCAAGATCAGGGCAGAATTAAATGAAATTTATTATAAAAGTACGATACAGAAGATTAGCAAAACAAAAAGCTGGTTATTTGAAAAAATAAACAAAATTGACACACCAATTGCTAGATTAACCAGAAACAGAAAAGACTCTAATTAGTTCAATCAGGAAGGATAAAACAGAAATCATAACCAATACTAGAGAAATACGAAATTTGTTGAGATATGTTTTGTGACCTAGTATACAGTTAATCTTAGAGAGTGTTCCAAGAACTGATAAAAAGAAAGTATATTTGATGGGTTTGGGGTAGAATGTTCAAAAACTGTCTCTTAG